GAAGTGCGGGGACGTCGCGAGCGCGCCTGGAGGCTTTGTGGGGCGGCGGTCGCAGGAGAGCGAGAGGAAGAGAGAGAGGAAGAGGAGAAGAGGGAAGGAGAGGCGACCCCTCTTTTTTTTCCCGCTTAGATGTCCAGGGGCATGTCGGCGCTGCCCTCCACGGCGTCCATGTCGTCGTCGCCGTCTTCTGCGTCGTCGTCTACGCGGTTGCTGCTCACCTCTTGGCTGTTCACTATCGCGTCTGTTGACAAAGGATAAGGATAGTGACGGTGGTCGACAATGGGGGGGGGGGGATGCTGATGTGGTGAGGAATATAGATGGCAATGACAATGGTGAAGCTAATGGTAAAAGGTAATGGTGGTGATGCGTACGACAATGTATTATTATAGTGATTAAAGCAGTGAGTAAAGCTGGAGATGATGATAATAGTGAAGGACGATGGTGGTGATGATGTGAAAGGATAGTGCCTCATTATGCCCCTGCGTCACACGGGTCAGCGTGAGGCGAAGCGCGAGCAAAACTGCCAGATGAGAGCCTGGGCACCCGCGGAGAAGATGAACAATGGAAGTGAAATGTGTGTTCAACAATGAATAAGAATAAAGAGCATTTTGAATCAATAGAATCTTCTGTGGAGGACATTTTCCTTTTAACGATATTTGGTCTTGAAATCAGTGGATTTCTTGACAGTTTGATCACCTCTAACTTCTTAGTTTAAAATTGACACCACCTCATTTATTCCATGAAAATGATTATATGATAATAGTTGATTTAAGCCTCAATTCAAATCAAATAATGGGCGCAGTGCTTCGTCTATCTCACTGACCAAAACAATATAAACTTACCTGTTGTAATAACTCAAAGATTATCCTGGAGGAACAAACAAAGACAAACAAAAAATGAGCTGCATCGCCCACTTCCCTCCGACGCCACCCAATCCGATCCTCTCGGGCCTTCCAGTCCCCGAGGCCATGGCATCCGTGTCCCGTTTCCGAGGTTTTATTTTTCTAGACATAATTTCCATTTAGATCTGACACTCACTCCCTGCCGGATGCCCTTCCTGCTGCCAGTCCTCACCTCTTAGCCATAAGCTCCACCCACAGAAACAAACAGAAACGCACACTCACGAACCCACACACACACGCACACATGCTCATACATACATACACCCCCTCCCTCCAAGACCCACACGCATTCCAAGAGCCGAAACCTACCACAGTTGGGGGTGCTGTGCGTGCGGGTGCTGGGGAGCTCGACGCCGTGCCTGTCCACGCACCAGCACACGCCAGCGCCGGCGTGGCACTGCGTGGGCTGGTAGTAGCCCTCGCTGTCGCACTCGGGGATGTAGCCGCCTGAAAGAGGGCAGAGCAGCTCAGGGTCGGTGCTGGGGCTGTGGCGGTCGCTGCCGCTCTTATCATTATCTTTGCAATCACTGTCATCATTATTGCTCTTGGCACTGGTATCATCTTTATCATTATATTACTATTAGTAGTAGTATCATTATTGTTATTGTTATTATTACTATCATTATCATTATATTATTGTCTTTAATATTTTTGTTATCATTATCATTATCATTATTATCATCATCATCACTACACTTATTATCATCGCTATTTTCATTATTATTACTATTAATTATCATTACTAACATGATCATTATTAGTCTTATTATCATTCTCATTCATTACTATTATCATTATCATTATTATTGTTTTTATTATTTTTATCATTATTATGATTATTATTATTACCATCTCTGTCCAATTATAATCATAAAAAGGTCCCGCTCCCTCACCAAAAAGAGATGAAAGGAAAAATGAATAACAATAACCCTACGTCAGACGCAACGAGAGAGGCCACTCACCCAGCAGGCCCTTGCTGGCCTTCCGCAGGGCTGCACAGGGGCGCTCGGACTTGTCGAAGCATTTGCACCACTCGCGGGCAGACAGGAAGATGTCCCTGGAAGAGAAGGGGCGGATAGCGGCGCTGAGAATGAGCAGAGAGCTGAGGATGGTGGAAGGGGTGAGCAGAGAGCTGAGAATGAATGGAGAGGTTAACCGTATTCATTGTGACAACTTAAACTTAAACTTCGATTATATCTTCGTCAGAAATACGTACATTTCTGACGAAAGGGAACATCGAAACGGGTTACGTTTCTTGCGTTTCATCCCTTTTCTACAAAAGTTAAGTTTGCTTAATGAAGGAGTTCACAGTCAAATCTATAGACGATAGGTAAGAAACAGTTTATGAATCATGGACGGACACAAAAGGAAAACGAGTAGGAGAGGCAGTGTCTCTTAGGGTAACCGGAGGAGAAATCCCTGGGAGCAACCTGGTGGCCTTATTAGGATATTTAAATCACGGGCTAGATCCCACTTCTTTTCTCCGCCCCCCTCCATTCCCTTCTCCAAGCCAGCTCATCTCCCTCCCCCCCCCCCCATTACCCCCTTCCCCGCAACACTATCTCCCCTTTTCCCACCCTTCCTTTCCCGTTCCATTTCCTCTTCCTTTCTCACCTTTCTTCTCAAGCTTTCCCTATCCCTCTTCACCCTCCTTTCCCTCCCTCCACCTTCCTTCCCCATCCCATCCCATCCCATCATCAGCATATCCATTTTAACATATTGCTCTACAGTGTGGGAGGGATCGAGGAACAAGGTTCTGCCACTCGTCATATCTCAAAAGGTCTTACGGGTGATATCCAGTTTCGGAGGACTCGACCCCACTAATAATGCATTCAGACACCCAAAAAATTAAAATATTTGGACGTAAATGTCCATTGCAGTGCCCTGCACGTGTTCAAATGTTTGCTATAATATTCAGTTCAAAATATATTGTAGGTCATAATGTGAATTACAATTTAAGGAACGAAAATCTACTCGGTCTGCCTCAGATGTGGCAAACCGACACCGCACACGGGGCAAGTGTGTGGACCGAACGCCCCTTCGCATAGGAAATGCAGTTTCGCTTCCTGTCTTTAAGAAACGAAAACGACATTTGTTAATATAATCAGGCAACGTGATCTTTCTAAAACCCATGAAACTTTAGAATCAATGGTTATTGTTTGTCCCTTATCAGTTGATGTATCTTAAGAAAATGTCGATAATAATGTCCATACTAACCTTTTATAGAAGTATTGTATTTGATTTTGCCAAAGTGAATATTAATTGATTTAGTGCTATGTTACTGTTAATGTGCCTTTTAAAAGAGCATGTTGCTTTCAAAAGGCTCAGCCAAATCCACTGGATTATATTTTTCTGTATAAACTGCCCAACTTGTAAAACTTTAGCTAGAGAAACATTCTAAAATTCAAAAACTCAAAATTCAAAATCCCCGCTCTTCCCCCCCTCACCTTTCCCTAAGCCACCTTCCCCCGCCCTCACCTTCCCCCCACAGCCACCTCCACCTTCCCCCCCGCCACACCACCTCCACCTTCCCCCCGCCCACAGCCACCTCCACCTTCCCACCGCCCACAGCCACCTCCACCTTCCCCCCGCCCACAGCCACCCCACCTTCCCCCGCCCACAGCTCCACCCCCCGCCCACAGCCACCTCCACCCCCCCCCCACAGCCACCACCTTCCCACCCCACCCCCCGCCCACAGCCACCTCCACCTTCCCCCCGCCACAGCCACCTCCACCTTCCCCCGCCCACAGCCACCTCCACCTTCCCCCCGCCCACAGCCACCTCCACCTTCCCCCGGCCACCTCACCCCCCGCCCACAGACCTCCACCTTCCCCCCGCCCACACGCCACCTCCCCTTCCCCCGCCCACAGCCACCTCCACCTTCCCCGCCCACAGCCACCTCCACCTTCCCCCCCGCCCACAGCCACCTCCACCTCTCACGCCACACAGCCACCTTCCCCCCGCCCACAGCCACCTCCACCTTCCCCCGCCCACAGCCACCTCCACCTTCCCCCCGCCCACCCACCTCCACCTTCCCCCGCCCACAGCCACCTCCACCTCCCCCCCCCACAGCCACCTCCACTTTCCCCCCACCCACAGCCACCTCCACCTTCCCCCGCCCACAGCCACCCTCCCCTTTCCCCCCGCCCACCCTCCACCTTCCCCGCCCACACACCTCCACCTTCCCCCCCCACAGCCACCTCCACCTTCCCCCCCCCCACAGCACCTCCACCTTCCCCCCCCCACAGCCACCTCCACCTTCCCCCCCCCCACAGCCACCCCCACCTTTTCCCCCCCCCCCACCAGCCACACCTCCACCTCCCCCCGCCCACAGCCACTCCACCTTCCCCCCGCCCAAGCCACCTCACCTTCCCCCCCCCACAGCCACCTCCACCCCCCCCCCCGCCCACAGCCACCCACCTTCCCCCCCACACCTCCACCCCCCCGCCCACAGCCACCTCCACCTTCCCCCGCCACACTTCCACTTCCCCCCCACCCACAGCCACCTCCACCTTCCCCCCGCCCACCACCTCCACTTCCCCCCACCCACACCCTCCACCTTCCCCCCACCCACAGCCACCTCCACCTTCCCCCCGCAGCCACCTCCAGCCTTCCCCCCGCCCACCCACCTCCACCTTCCCCCGCCCACAGCCACCTCCACCTTCCCCCGCCCACAGCCACCTCCACCTTCCCCGCCACAGCCCACAGCCACCTCCACCTTCCCCCCGCCCCAGCCACAGCCACCTTCACACCTCCCCCCCGCCCACAGCCACCTCCACCTTCCCCCGCCACAGCCACCTCCACCTTCCCCGCCCACAGCCACTCCACCTTCCCCCCACAGCCCTTCACACCTCCACCCCACCCACAGCCACCTCCACCTTCCCCCGCCCACAGCTACCTCCACCTTCCCACCACAGCCACCTCCCCTTCCCCCGCCCACACCCTCACCTTCCCGCCCACCTCCACCTCCCCGCCCACCCTCCACCTTCCCCACCACAGCCACCTCCACCTTCCACAGCCCACCTCCACCCACCCCTCTCACCTTCCCCCACCCACAGCCACCTCCACCTTCCACAGCTACCTCCACCCCGCCCACAGCCACCTCCACCTTCCCCCCCACCCACAGCCCCACCTCCACCTTCCCCCGCCACAGCCACAGCCACACCTCCACTTCCCCCGCCACAGCACCTCACCCCCCCGCCACACCTCCACCTTCCCCCCCCAGCCCAAGCACCTCCACCTTCCCCCGCCCACAGCCACTTCCCCCCGCTTCCCTTCCCCCACAGCTCCACCTTCCACCCCACTCCACTTCCCCCCCACCTACCCACCTTCCCCCGCCCACAGCCACCTCCACCTTCCCCGCCACAGCCACCACCTTCCCCCACAGCCCCCCACCCCTCCACCTTCCCACCCACAGCCACCTCCACCTTCCCCCGCCCACAGCCCACCCCACCCCCCCCCGCACACCTACTCCACCTTCCCCCCGCCCCCACCTCCCTTCCCCCACAGCCCACTTCCCCCCGCCACAGCCACCTCCACCCTTCCACACCTCACCCCCCCCGCCCACAGCCACCTCCACCTTTCCCCCCGCCCACAGCCACCTCCACCTTCCCCCCGCCACCCCACTCCACAGCCCACAGCCACCTCACCTTCCCCCCACAGCCACCTCCACCTTCCCCCCGCCCACAGCCACACCTTCACAGCCACTCCACCCCCGCCCACAGCCACCTCCACCTTCCCCCCGCCCAAGCCACCTCCACCTTCCCCGCCACAGCCACCTCCTTCCCCCCACAGCCACCTCCACCTTCCCCCCGCCACAGCACCTCCACCTTCCACCCCCACAGCCACCTTCCACACCCCCGCCCACAGCTCCACCTTCCCCCCCACACCTTCCCCCCCCCCCACCTTCCCCACCCTCCAGCCACACCACCTCCACCTTCCCCCGCCCACACCTACCTCCCTTCCCCCCGCCCACAGCCACCCACCACCTCCACCTTCCCCCACAGCACCTCCCCCCGCCCACAGCCACCCCCCGCCACAACACCTTTCCCTTCCCGCCCACAGCCACCTCCAGCCCACAGCCACCTCCACCTTCCCCCGCCCACAGACCTCCACCTTTCCCCCCACCTCCACCTTCCCCCGCCCACAGCCACCTCCACCTTCCCCCCGCCCACAGCCACCTTCCACCTTCCACCTTCCCCCCACAGCCTCCACCTTCCCAGCACAGCCACTCACCTTCCCCCCCCCCTACCTCCTTCACCCCACCTACCCCCCCCGCCACACCACCTCCACCTTCACAGCCACCCACTCCACCTTTCCCCCGCCACAGCCACTCCACCTTCCCCGCCCCACCCACACAGCCACCTCCACCTTCCCCGCCCACAGCCACCTCCACCTTCCCCCCGCCCACAGCCACCTCCACCTTCCCCCCCACAGCCACCACCCCCCCCCCACCTTCCCCCCCCCCCCCCCCGCCCACAGCCCTCCCCAACAACCCATTCCCCTCACCTGTCCAGATCGCATCGGTCGATGAAGGGCTTGATGCACCGCTCGTGGTCGTCGTGCTCCAGCTGGTACAGTTCCTTCACGCTGAGGCGGCCGTCGCTGTCCCCGTCCAGGTGGCCCAGCATCCACGAGACCTCGGGCTTGCACCAGGAGGGAGCTGGGGGAGTGCAGGCGGAGGTGAGAGGGTCATGCCTTTACGTATTTATATGTAGACATGTAAAGGTATAAAAGGTTGAAGAATGTTTGCAAAAATGGTGAATAGAAGTGTTTGTTTGTTTTCTGTGTGTGTTTATATATGAGAACATACAGAGGGTTTAATAATGACTGCAACAACCATGCTCAAAACGATGAATATCAATACAGAATCATGGTTTGAATAACACAATTAGCCAGTACGACAGTCCCTCCTCCCCTTCCCAGTCGACACGAACCCATCGAGTGAGAACGAGTCGAACCATCGACCACTGCCATTCGCCTCACCTTTCGTGACGGAGTTGGTTCGTCTGCGCGAGTCGGCCATGATGACGGAGAACCAGTCCAGCATCCGGTTCCCCATGGCTTCGAGGGCGTCCTGGGTGCATTCTGGGGGGGGAGGTGGTTAGATGGGTGGTTCTTGGAGAGCTGACGGCGGTGGGGAGTGTGAGTGGTGGTGGTTGGCAATGGGAGATGGTTCGCTGGTCAGATGGGCGATTCTTGCATGGGTGATGGTGGTTCATAGCAAACTAACGATGGCTGCAATGCATAGGCTTTGGCTTGCAACGAGAGATTTAAGATTGTAGGATAAAACTGCAAACATAGCATCCGAGAAGCGAGATGCGTCTCGCGCCAATATATTTTCTCATAAGCTGCGTCTAAAAGCGACAAAGAATGATCATTGTCATTCAACTTAGGCTATGATGCCACTGAATGGTATTCTTCAATTATTTAATAAGAGACAAGAAACTTTACACAAATATTTAAATCTTTGTTTGTCATTTTATACATTTTCGTCTCTTTCACTCCTCTTCCTCTCTCATCTTCCTCCAATTATCTCTCTCACTACATCTCTTTCTATCTATTTAACTATCTCCTCTCTATCTCTCTCTTCCTTTCCCTTTCTGTCCCTCTCTCTCCCCCTCCCCCTCTTTCTCTCCCTTCTCCCTCTCTCTCTCTCCTTCCTCCTCTCTTTCTCTCTCTTCCTCTCCCTTTTTCTCTCTCTGTCTCCCCCTCCCTCTCTCCTTCCCCCCATCTCTCTCTCTACCTATCTATCTATCTCTCTCCTTCACGCCACTCCTTTATTCTCTCTATTCTCTTCTTATAAATTCACAACAATCTGTTTTGGATCAAGTGGTTACTCTTTTTACGTAAGACAAGAACAGTGAAGATGTATTGACGAGGTTCATTTCCTTCTGAACTATTTCTGCTTTATCTGCTTTAAACATTACTACTGCTGTTACTGCTACAGCATTTAATTTTCTGTGACTACTGTAATCGCTAGTTACTACCGTAATTGTTTTCTACATGGATCCTGCTGCCATAACTGTTTCTTCTTTACCACTTCTGCTACTTCTCCTACTACTCTAACGATATCTAACACGACCGCTACTGCTCCTACCACTTCTAATACTCTTAACACTCCTATTTCCACAACAATTTTCCCAATGACAGCTAATCTCCCGCCTTTTGCCCCTCCTCCGCCGCACCCGCCCTCCCCGCCCCGTCCCTCCCGCCGCCCTCCCCGCTCCGTCCCTCCCGCCGCCCTCCCCGCCCGTCCCTCCCGCAGCCACCCCCGCCGCCCAAATGAGCTTCGGGCGGCGCAAGACGGCGCGCCAAGCCTTCGAGATCCAATCGCATCGTGATGAGCCAATCTATTCAAGAGACTTCCCGTCGACGTAATATCGATGTATTTCATGATTTCAGATTTAAATGAGATTCCCCGGCAATTCAAATACACGAGTGGGGGTCTCTCGTTGCCCTGTGGAAATCACGAGATCATGGAATTTCCTATCTAATATCGCCTTTCTTTCCCTTCCTGGGATGAAGGTTTGTGATTGGCTGCAGTGGAAACGAAAGAGATCGCTGATTGGCTGGCGACGATGACGTCAACAGAGCTCATGGTAATGTCACTCTCATGTTTTTTTTTCAGTCGGCGATTTTGAGAAAATTGGTTAATTTTAGCTACCGAGGTTATGACTAATTTGAGTTTGGTTAATAACTATCAGAATGACTTCTAATGCGAATTGACTAAGTCTTAATAAAGGTACTGATGTAAAATACACTAAAGATACACAATACATAGTTTTCTGCATTACGCCAATGATGTATAATTTTACAGCTGAATATTAGTGTCTCCCTTCTGACGCAAAAATTATATATACTTCTCCGGCAGCCGAGAGATGAAGTATTCTGATCACTAGCCTAAGGTCACTGAGGAATCACTCTCCTTTTCGTGTCCTAGTGTAACGAGCATTGGGCAGTGGTAACAACCTTGCTAAGTCATTATTAACGATTCAGAGAACCCACACTTATCCCTGTTTCCGAACTCAAGACCCACACTCATCCCTGTTTCCGAACTCAAGACCCCACTCATCCCTGTTTCCGAACTCAAGACCACACTCATCCTGTTTCCGAACTCAAACCCACACTCATCCGTCCCCTGCGTCCAGGGGCCTGTCCTCCGACGCGCCCCCCGCCGGCACTTACCATTGGGTCCCCAGACGGTGTTGGAGGCGAGGCGGGTCGGGTCGTTGGTGCGGCGGGACCACTGCCGGTGGGCCTGAGGGAGGAGGGGGGGGGGTTAGAAAAGGGCTCTGGGCAGGCTCTCCTTTGTGGGAGTCACGTCCTTCTCTTATTTCGGGCTTCGACTGAGGCTCCGGCTTAAAAATATCGCTTTTCATAAGGTGTTAAATGCGTCTGAGGGGAAAACACGACTGCTGTACATGTATAGGCACTATGTCTATTTGTGGATGTGTACACACACACACGTAGACACGCACACACACGCACATATACATACATCTAAGTATTCATGTATGTATATACAAATACCGAGTCATTTGCTAATCCGCATGACTCAGGAACGACACTTACATTGTACTTGTCCATCTTTCTGTAGGAGTCCTTGCCGTACTTGCTGTAGTTGCTGCCGTCGTCGGCGCCGTTCCTGCCGCCGCCGCGCTCGCCCTTGTAGCCGCCGCTCTTCTTGTAGCCCTTGGCCTTGTTGAAGCGGCTCCGCACGCGGTTGGTGTACTTGTCCGCCATGTCGCGAGGCGGGTGCTTCCTGCCGCCGTCGCCGCCCCGCCCGCTGCCGCCCCTGCTGCTGCTGTCGCTGTTGGAGGTGTTAGAGGAAGAGGAGGAAGAAGACGAGGAAGAGGAGGAAGAAGAGGAGGAGGAGGAGGAAGAGGAGGAAGACGATGATGGCGAGGATGACGACTGCGTTGAATCTGGAGAAGGAGATGAGGTGCCTGGTTCATCCTTGGTGGCTCTGAGTTTGTTAATATAAGCGTCCAGTCTCTCTCTCTGTCTCTCTTTCTTGGCGGAGTGGGAGTTGGGGTCTGGAACAGAGGCCGAGACGGGGGTAAGACGGGGCGGAGGGGAGGAGGGGGGGGGGATTGGTGGGGGGCGATGCTGGCGGAGGAGTGGTGGTGGCGGAGACAGGGATGGTGGTGGGTGTTGGATGGAGGAAGTAATGATGACGCTGATGGTGAAGAGTTGACGGCGATGATATTTTTCATAATAATAATAATGCTTGTGTTGATAACAAAGACGAGAACAATAATGATAACATAATAAAGATTTAGTATTATTAGTAATCATGATCACTTTTATTATCACTACTGATATCAATACCATTATCATTTTAATCACTATCATGATCATTATCATTATTGTCATTATTAGTCCTTATTAATATCATGATTATCAGGAAAATGATACTGATGATGATGAGGAGGACGAGCATTATCAATATTATTAACTTTTACATTATCATAACCATTATTCTTATTCTAGTTCTGCTCCTTTCTATTATTATGACTATTACTATTATCATTATCACTATCGTTATGATTGATACTATCAATGTTATCATTATAATAATTTCCGTCGCTATTATTATTATCATTATCATTATTATTGTTATTGTTGTTGTCGTTCCTGTTTTTGTTATTACTGTTATCTTTATTATCATAATCATTATCAATACCGTTGTCATTATCATATAATCATAATTATTATCTTTATCATTATCATGATTATTATTTTGATTATTTATGATTATTGACATCATCATTATTGATATTTCTTTTATTAATATCATCACTATCACTATGATCCTTACCCTCAGGCCAAGTAAAGAAATACCTTTGGCTCAGGTAAGTCGCTAGGTAAGAATTTTTTTAGATTTCATTTTCCTTCTTTTTCCTTTTTAGATTTTTTGAGAAGTGATGTAATGAGCCTGTTCGTGGCCAGTCCCTCACTCTAACCCCTGCTTCCCAGCCCTACATATCACACTGGAAAAGTAAAACTGAGGTTCAGATTCAAAATGCACATCTTGTTTGTTTTTTGAAAGCCTGGGGGGGGGAGGCTTATCACTATTATTTATATCATTGCTAGCATCATCATCATCATTATCATTGACTATGCTATCATTATTATCATTATCATTATTATAATAATTATTATTATCATTACTATTACCATTATTATCATTATCATTATTATTATCATTATCACTATTACTATCATCATTATTATCATCATCATTATTCATATCATTATTATTACTATTACTCATCATTATTTTTATTGTTGTTGCTATTACTATTACTCTCATCATTATTTTTATTATTGTTGTTATTACTATTATTATTATTTCTATCATCATTATCATTATTATTATCATCTTTGTTAACATTACTACTATCATTATCAAAACTGCTATCATTAGCATCATTATTATCATTATCATTATTATTACCAACATCGTTATCATTATTATTATTATTATTATTATTATTATTATTATTATTATTATTATTATTATTATTTTCATCATCATCGTCATTATCATTATTATTATTATAAGTGTTATCATTATAATTTCTATTATCATCATTATTATTATTATCATCATTAATGTTATTACTATCATTATCATTATTACTAGTGTTATTATTATCATCATCATTACTATCATTGTTTTTATTACTATTGTCATTATTGTTATTATTATTATTATTATTATTATTATTATTATTATTATTATTATTATTATTATTATTATTATTAATATTATTATTATTATTATTATCATTATTATCATTATTATTATTATCATTATAATAATAATAATTATTATTATTATTATTATTATTATTGCCATCATTGTTATCATTATTATCATTATCATTATCATTATTATTATTATTATTATTATTATCATTATTACTATTATTATTATTATTATTATTATTATTATTATTATTATTATTATCATAATCATGATGATAATAATAATAATTATAATTATCATTATTATATTTATCATTATTATCATGCTATTTATCATCATTATCATCATTTTCATTATAATTGCTATTATCATTATTATCATTAATATTATTATCATTATCATTATTATCACTTTTATCACTATATTTATCATCATCATCATTATTATCATTTTAATTATCATTATTGCTATTATCATTATTGTTGTTGTTGTTGACCATTATCATTTTTATCAATTTTAGTATTAAATTTTTTGGATAATTCTAATATTATCATTATCATCATAATTATGATGATCAATATCATTACTGCGACTATTATCATTATCATTACTACTATAATTATTATCATTATCATTATCATTATTATTATTATCATGATTATTATTACCTTCATTATCATTATCATTATTGTAATATCATTACCATTAGTATTATCACTACCATTATCATTATCATTACCATTTTTTGTCATTACCATCACCATCACTTTTCATCACCACCATCATCCTTAACATGGTCATTAAATTATTGTCATTCCTATGATAAGAAAATAATGATGATGCCGATGATGATAATGATAATGATGATAATAATAATAATAATAATAAACAATTATAGTAATGATAATAACAATAACAATAGTAATAATAATGATAATAATAATATTACCCTTTCAGTTATAATGCAATGCTAATAATAATAATGATAATTTGAACAATAATGATAATGATAATGATAATAGTAATGATTGATAATAATAATGATAATAATAATAATAATAATAATAATAATAATAATAATAATAATAATAATAATAATAATAATAATAATAATAATAATAATAATAGTAATAATAATAATAATAATTACAAAAAAATAACAACAATAATAATAATGATAATAACAATAATTATTTTCATGATAATAATAATGGTAAACAGTAATAATAGCAATAGTGATAATAACACGGATAATAATAATGATAGCAACAACAATAATAACAGATACATCAATAGCAACAATAATAATAACATTAATGAATCCACACTATTCCTAATATTAAAGAGATTATTATCCTTTTTCATTGAGGCAAGTGGACCGAATTTTCAGATTTCACGTCCAACCTGAAAAATGATAGAATGTTATGAATGGGAATCAGAGAGAGTGGGAAAAAGAGACCCTGGAAAAGCACACACATCCAAGCTTCCATTCTTGCAAGGTCAGAGCCACAGAAGAAATTCCAAAATGAACTTAAGGCTGACAAAATGTATTTGAAACGCTGCTTATTCCAAAACGATATATTTTGCACATATTTCCCCAAGAGGTCATTTTATATCAGTTTTCAAAGCAAACATTATTTGAGGCAGAATAGAGTAATTACATATTCACACCCCATTTTTTAAATATTTTTTTATCATTTTTTTTTCTATAAATCAAATCCCGATCGTATTATGTGTGTGTTTGCCTGCACGTTCCACATACTTATTGACAAGTATACGAGTGTATGTATTTATGTTTATATGTGCGCATGTTTCCACGCGTGAATCCGTGCATCCCTAAGCGTGTGCACGGAATGCGTGTGTGTGTGTGTGTGTGTGTGTGTGTGTGTGTGTGTGTGTGTGTGTGTGTGTGTGTGTGTGTGTGTGTGTGTGTGTGTGTGTGTGTGTGTGTGTGTGTGTGTGTGTGTGTGTGTGTGTGTGTGTGTGTGTGTGTGTGTGTGTGTGTGTGGTGTGTGTGTGTGTGTGTGTGTGTGTGTGTGTGTGCGCGCGCGAGAACATGAACCTTCAGAACAAATTTCCCGCCCTGAGTCGTCGACCGAAAAAGGCCAACTTGTCACTTGCATTACTCTCGCCCTGTTCCAAGCGCAAATGAGGAAAGGGAAAGAAAAAAAAACGTTGCTTTTCATATTTTCGTAAAGGATTACAAGTTTAATATTTTTTCTTCTGTCTCTTGATTCGCCAGGAAAAGTAAAAGAAATCCCGGCATTTTTTCTCGCAAATTACGAGACAGCGCGAGACGGCCGGGACAGCGCGAAAGTAAATTGGGTTTAGTATAAATATTTTCATTTTCCCTCTCTCCCTCTCCCTCTCCCTCCCCTCCTCCTTCCTCTCTTTCTCCCCTGTATGTTCCCTTCCTTCCTCCATCTCGCTTTGCTTTTCCACTCACCTTCTCATCCTCTTCCTTCTCTCCATCATACTTCTTTCCCTTGTCTTGCCCCTCTTTCGTTCTCCTTTGCTCTTCCTCATCTCCCACTTTCCTTCCCACTACTTCTCTCCCTGTGTCTTCTCTTCCCTTTCCCTTCCCTCCCCTTCCCTCCTCCTCCCTCGCGCCATACCTCTGTGTCCCCCATCTCCTTTCCTCTCCCTCTCCTTCCCTCCCTCTTTCTTCCCTTTCCCTCTTGCCCTCCTTCTCCCCCTTTCCTCTCCCTCTCTCTTTCGCCATTTTGACTCTCACCTTCCCTCCTTCGTTCCCCCCCTTTCCGCTCTCACTCCAGCCCTCCTTCCCCCTTTCTCTCTCCTCCTCTCTCCCTTCTTCTCCCCTTTCCCTCCCCCATCCCTACCACCTTCTCCCCCTTCCATCATCATTACTATTACCATTATTATCATTATCATTATTACTATTATCACTATTACTATTTTTCACCAGAAGTATTTCTTTATTCCCGCCTTTCGACTCGTATCTGCGGTCTCGGCCAGAGGGACTTCGGCCGCTCGCAGGAAACGGTTGAGGAAACGGAAGGAAAACTGGAGAATACTTCCGGCCTTTTCGGATCTCCTCTCTCTCTCTCTCTTTCTTTCTTTCTTTCTTTCTCTTTCTTTCTTTCTTTTCTCTCTCTCTCTCTCTCTCTCTCTCTCTCTCCTCTCTCTCTCTCTCTTCTCTCTTCTCTCTCTCTCTCTCTCTCTCTCTCTCTCTCTCTCTCTCTCTCTCTCTCTCTCTCTCTCTCTTCTCTCTCTCTCTCTCTCTCTCTCTCTCTTCTCTCTCTCTCTCTCTCTCTCTCTGCCTTCATTTATCTATCTATATATATATCTATATATGTATGTATATGTTTGTGTGTGTGTGTGTATTTGTGTCTGCGTGTATGTGAATGTGTGTGTTGTGTGTGTGTGTGTGTGTGTGTGTGTGTGTGTGTATGTGTGTGTGTGTGTGTGTGTGTGTGTGTGTGTCTGTGTCTGCGTATGTGCGTGTATCTGTGTGTGTGTGTGTGTGTGTGTGTGTGTGTGTGGTGTGTGTGTGTGGTGTGTGTGTGGTGTGTGTGTGTGTGTGTGTGTGTGTGTGTGTGTGTGTGTGTGTGTGTGTGTGTGTGTGTGTGTGTGTGTGTGTGTGTGTGTGTGTGTGTGTGTGTGTGTGTGTATGTGTATGTGTGTGTGTCTGTGTGTGTGAATGTCTGTGTGTATGTGGGTGTGAGTGTGTGTGTGTTTGTGTGTGTATTTGTGTCTGTGTGTGTTTTGTATGTGTGTATATGAATATGTGTGTGTGTGTGAGTGTATCTGTGTTTGTCTGTGTCTGCGTATGTGTGTGTGTCTGTGTGTGTGTGTGTGTGTGTGTGTGTGTGTGTGTGTGTGTGTGTGTGTGTGTGTGTGTGTGTGTGTGTGTGTGTGTGTGTGTGTGTGTGTGTGTGTGTGTGTGTGTGTGTGTGTGTGTGTGTGTGTGTGTGTGTGTGTGTGTGTGTGTGTGTGTGTGTGTGTGTGTGTGTGTGTGTGTGTGTGTGTGTGTGTGTGTGTGTGTGTGTGTGTGTGTGTGTGTGTGTCTGTGTCTGCGCGCGTGTGTATGTCTGTGTCTGCGCGCGTGTGTGTGTGTGTGTCTGTGTCTGTATCTGCGTATGTGTGTGTATCTGTGTGTGTGTGAGTGTGTGTGTGTGTGTGTGTGTATGTGTGTGTGTGTATGTATGTGTGTGTCTGTGTATGTGTGTGTGTGTCTGTGTCTGCGCGCGCGTGTGTGTGTGAGAGAGTGTCTGTGTGTGTGTGAATGCGCGCGTGTGATACAGAGGGAACATCGGCGCACGCCAAAGCACCGCAGGCGCGCAGTGCAACCAGCAGGAGGCCGCCACGAAGGAAGAAGAATAAGAATAAGAAGAACGAAGCGCAAGAAGGAAGGGAATGCCAAACGCGGGCAAATAGGGTGACAGATCGTGGACTTTCCTCAATTGTGTTTACTCCGGAAGCTGAAATATTGCGAAAAAAGGAGAGACGCAAACCTGGCTTCACCTCTCGCTCGCAGTCTGTCTGTCTCTCCCGCCTCTGTGTGCTCTCTTATTAAGATCTCTCTCTCTCTCTCTCTCTCTCTCTCTCTCTCTCTCTCTCTCTCTCTCTCTCTCTCTCTCTCTCTCTCTCTTCTCTCTCTCTCTCTCTCTCTCTCTCTCTCTCTCTCTCTCTCTCTCTTCTCTCTCTCTCTCTCTCTCTCTCTCTCTCTCTCTCTCTCTCTCTCTCTCTCTCTCTCTCTCTCTCTCTCTCTCTCTCTCTCTCTCTCTCTCTCTCCTCTCTCTTCTCTCTCTTCTCTCCTCTCTCTCTCTCTCTCTCTCTCTCTGTCCTTATGTTCTCCTCCCTTCTCCCCTTTCTATCTCTCTCCATTTCTGTATTCCTGTCTGCATTCCTGCCTTCCTGTCTTTCTGCCTGTCTGACTACCTACCTGTCTGCCACAGCCTCCCCCCCCCACCGCCGCAGATGGCACCAATAAGCGGCTGAGCGACTCGTTGTTATTATCGTATCTATTGTCTTAACCATTTATCATTATCACTGTGGTCATTCTCTCTTATTTTCCATTCGTATTCTTCTTCCTCATTTCGCCCCCTATCTTCATTTTCCTCTCTCCCCCCTTCCCTTCTTCAATCTTATCCACTCGCCGTCCTCTCTCTCTCCTCCTCCTCCTCCTCCTCCTTCCATTCCCTGTATATCCCCCTTACCCGTTCTCCTCTTCTTCCCTCCTTCCACCCTCTCTCCCTATTTCCCTTCCTCTACCTCTCGTTTTTCTGTTTGTCCCCCTTTCCTTTTCTCTCTCTTCTACCCTCCTCCCTTCCTCCTCTTCCCTCTCTGTCCCTCATCTTTCTCTCTCCACCTCCTCTCTTCTTCTTCCTCCTCCTCCTCCTCCATTTCTTCTCTTCCCCTCTTCCCTTTGTCTCTCTACTTCCTCCCTCCTCCTCCCCCCCCCCCCCTCCTCTATTCCTTCTCTTCCCTCTCGTCTCTTTCCTCTTCCTCTCTTCTCTCTTCCTCTCCTCCTTCCCTCTCTTCCTTCTTCCTCCTCCCTTTCCTCTCTTCCTTCCTCCTCCTCCTCCCTTCCCTCTCTTCCTTCTTCTTCTTCCTCCCTTTCCTCTCTTCCTTACTCCTCCTCCTCCCTTCCCTCTGTTCCTTCTTCCTTCTTTTCTTTCCCCTCCTCCGATTCTCGTCTATCACTCTCCTTCCTCTATTCTTGATGTTCTTCCTTCTACTTCTCTCACTTCTCTTCAGATTCTTCTTTCTCCTTTTCTACCCTCTCTTCTTCTATTTTTCCTTCTCCTTCTTCCCCTTCTTCGATTCATATTCTGCCTCCCCGTCTTCTCTTCTTCCCATTCTTCCTTCTCACTCTCCCCTCCTCCTCTTCCTATTCTTCCTTCTCACTCTCCCCTCCTCCTCCTCTTCCTATTCTTCCTTATCGCTCTCCCCCTCCTCCTCCTCTTCCTTCTAAATCATTCTATTCTCTTCTTTATATCCTTTCTTTTCATTCTTACCTTACTTCTCTTATTCTTCCTTCTCCCTCTCCCCCTTCTGTCATTCATATTCTTCATTTTCCCTATTCCATTCTCTTCATATTTTTTCTTCTCCCTCTCCTCCCCTTCCTTCCTTTCTACCCTTTCTTTTTTCTCCTCCTCCTCTCTTTATTCTTTACACTCCTTCTTCCTCTTACTTCTCTTTCTTCTCCCCTTCTCTTTCCTCTCCTCCTCCCCTTCCTCTCTCTCAAAGATTCCCTTTCTCCTCCTTTAGCTTTTGTTCTCATTGTTGCCTTTCCCAAATTCTTCTTTTTCTCTCTTCCTCCTTTTTTTCTTCTCCCTTTCCAGCTCCATCCCCCTTCCCTAGCTTTTGTTTTCGCTCCTGCTCGGCGTGTGTGTTGTGATTACACCCTGTCCGTGCATGCGAGCATTCGTGCCTGTGTGTGCGTGTGTGTTCAAGAGCCATTACGGTTCAAGCACCAGCGCAATTAGTGTCTCGGAGTGACGAATGCGGCCGTCCATAACCAACTTTGGCGCCATTTGTCATCTGCGTCCACACACAGAGCGGCGGTTCTTCTGCATTACTCTGGCCATGTGGTGCGCGGCCCTTGGCTGTGGGGGCTGCGTGCCGGCTCTCGAGGGGCGCGGGCCCTTTTCCTCTTGGGGAGATTATCAATAAATAAAGACAAAAGGGGAAAAGGAAAATTGGAATGCGTTTGGGGGGGGGGGAAGCATGTGTGTGTTTGCTTGTGGTGGTATCTTCTAAGATGAGTGTTTTTTTTTTTTTTTTCTTGTCTTTGTGCGCATGGCTTGAGTGGATTTCATTCTCGTATGTGCGTCCGAGATGCCATTATTTGCACCATATCACAGAGCAAAAATACCCTTCCCCTTCTCTCTGCTATCAACGTGGACCAGAGAAAGAATAAAAGGGAATAACGTATGCACACGATAGAGCGAACACGAAAGGACTACGTATAAAAAAAGAGAAAGAAAGGAAGGAAGAAAGAAAGAAAAGAGGAAAACTCGAGATAAAAACGACGGCAACAGAAGAGCTATTTCCTCTTGTACTCTCACTCCGCCAAATTCACTCATCCACATCCAATCCAATCTTGCCCTTTGCGCGGGAATTCAAACCGAGATAATGGCGCAAGGTAAGGCCGATAAATAGCAGAGTGCCCCCTTGAAGCGGACGTTAGTTGGCGACAAGGGGCGACGGGCCAATCCCCGGGAAATATTGGGGCTTTGAGAATTTTAAATCCCGTATGACCGTGATTTCCTTTTTTCTCTTTTTTTCCCAAAAGAAGCGTTTTTCTAACTGTTGGTATGTTTTTTTGTTTTGTTTTTTTTGTAATGGTATATATAAAAAAAAATCTGTAAAGCGGAAAACATATAAATTGTAAATGGAAAATTAATATTCAAGTTACAAGTAAAATCGCTCGTTTCCCTTTCACCTCGAGTTTCCCACATCAAAGAAAACGGGGATCTGACTCGCGTCCAGTTGGTAGGGATAACTTACCTTTACACGGACAGAATCCTTTGCATGCAACATGGACGTTGGCTTCATGTATGCAATTGTGATAGTGCAGGCGGCATAGAGAGGAGTAAGTTCTGTTGTCGGAGCCACAGAGGAACACTGGCCTCACCACAGGACAAGAAGGACACTGCCTGCAACGACAAAAAATATAGAATCAATTTTGAAATTTTATAACCTTAAAAAAAGATGTTCGGACTCTGAAAAAAAAACATTATCCTTTTGATACTTTAGAGTAAATGCTTCTAGTTTGATACGTAATTGAAGAAACACAAGTAAACTACTACGTCGTCATGAAATTACTACATATGCCTTTTGTACATATTTCAAAAGATAATAATGAGCAATCTTGTCTATAAGTGTCGTAATACATTACTATCCTCTTGGTATCAAAACACACACGCAGACACACACACACACACACACACACACACAACACACACACACACACACACACACACACACACACACACACACACACACACACACACACACACACACACACACACACACACACACACACACACACACACACACACACACACACGTATACATACAAATACACACACACGCTCACTCTCTCTCTCTCTCTCACACACACACACACACAAATGACTGGAAGTAAATGTGAAAACCTGAATCGTCACCGCCATCGTCTTCCTCGTCGTCGTCCTCAACCCAAGGCCCGATCACGATCATCTTAACCTCTCCTTTACGAATTAGTCTCCCTTCCCAGAGGTCACGTGACACGGATGAGGATCTTCTACCCCCACCTCCCCTAAACTTCTATCCCCCCCCCCCCTGCTGGACCCTCCACCCACCCGGCAGCGTCGTGGTCGTCATGGCAACGACGGGGTGAGCGTGCCAGAAAGTCTGTGCGGGAAATGGTG